TTATCAAATTTGGCGTGTTTTGGACAACACGTGCGGGGGAACCACAGTTTTGTATCCCTCGCGGGAACATCAGAACAATGTCCATGTAGAAGATTGTTATATTCCGGTTTCATTTCAGTTTTAACAAGGGATGAAATAGAAGGCCCTGATAATGCCATATAAGCACTATCAGTGTCCATTTCACAATATTCAAAGTCAGCACGATCTACATACTTGTCAATAAAGTCATAATAGAACTCCAACATTCGTAATTTGGCATATTGTAATATGAAAAATCCTAACTGAATAGGTAAATCGTAGCTGATTTTAGGTTTTGACATCTCCACTTCATAGTATTTTTTGTTTTCATTCAAACAGGTTAAATTTCTAAATCGTGGGTTGTTAACTGCAGTCGCTGCCTCATTGTCTCCACTTACATATGAAATCGCTACATGTTTCGACTTGTCCATGATCAAGCCACCGTAGCTGGAATTTCCAATGAGTTTAAATGTTTCTGCGATGACTGCATACCGCTTGTCCATGTCCCCCCTTCGACGGGCATTGCTCACGTCTCTCACAAAGGATGAGAACGGGACACTAGCACTGTACTCCACGGTTTGGTATACGCGAGTGACTTTTAAACCGTGATCTATATACCACTTCAACAGCGGCGTTGCCAACATAATTTTTTCCGCTCTCATACCACCCACAAGCAATGTCCGTGGCTTTGAATTTATTCCTTGTGAGATGACATGTTCTTGCATGTGTTTTCCAATACATTCGAAGGGAACTTCTGTAGTACAGAAAAGAGGTGACATCTCGCTAAAATGTTCATATGGAGTGCGTTTAGAATTACGAAATTCCTCCGTCCATTCATCCGGGACCCTAATGTCTACTTCTAACATTCCAAAAAGTTCTCCATCGCGAACTGCCTTGATAATGACATCTTCACTCACGTTTGATTTGTGTTTCTTATAAAAATGTGGTTGTTTTTCCTCTATAAAATGTTCTAGCCTCGGGGTCTGTCGTTTTAATTCCTTAAATTCACACTCCCAAATTTCAATTACATTATAGCCACGCTCTCGTATATATGATGTAGTTTTTGCTGTATTTTCAAATTTTGAAGCGCGTTTTCTGAGCCAGTCTTCGTTTTTGATGCTTCCTGTTAGTGGACAATTCTGGTGTCCATGAAAATAGCATCCGTGAAACTGCAGAACCAGGTTTTTTTCCGCACAGTAGCCATCCACAGGATACGGTCCTATTCGTTTTTCAGTCTTGTTGTTAAGTTTATGAAGTATTTTAATCCCTTGTTCCTTACTCAGCCAATCGAGCCAATAAAATGCGACCATAAACTTTTCACGTAGCTCGGGTCGAAATCCAGTCTCTTTTTTTCTCCGTATGTAAGGTCCAACCGGCATTTTCTGATCGATAGCCCAAAGATAGAGGGCATTCGCATCATAACCAACTATTTTCCGACATAGCTTGTCAGGATTCTCCCTAATGAAACTTTCTCCACTAGAACAATGCCGATTAAAAATGATGGAAGGACCTCCAACAATATTTCCCCTCACTGTATCAAACAGATCTTCATCATTTTTGCTGAAAAGGGAGAAGGAGGCACCCGTTTTTTTCCCAGCGTCAAACAACATCCGTCGGGCGATTCCAGGCACTGACATGGTAGTCTTGAAAAGGTCAATCTCTTTTTCGAAATAAAATTTTTGAAGATTTTCCACAGCAAGAACAAAGGGACCAACATCTAAATTATTATACCATACTAGAAAATCCTTAAATGTAGACATGTCATTATCATTCCAAACAGACTGACAAAAGGCGTATTCTTCTAGTGTAATGTTTTTGTTTTTCAAACAACTGTAAAAGTCCTTATGTTCCGGAAGTGACTTACATTTCAATTTCTCAAGACAGTCAAACCACTCGTATGGAAAATAGCCTTTTTGCTCGTGGACGCCATACGCGCTTAAAAATTTACTATACGATGAACCAGGTGCCAAATAATTTGAAATATCCAGAAATTTTAAATTCAAATTGCTGATACAGCTATATGCATTGCACTTTTTCACGGTGAAAGGTTTTTGTTTCCGATCATCTAGGTGAAGTTTTTGAGAAATTGTTTGTTTGATTAAATTTAAATCATACCTTGATGAGTTAAATCCGAGAGCGGGTGTCTGACTGCAGTAAGTAGAGAATTTTTCCATTAGTTGTTTGTTCAAAACTTTTGAAACAAACTCCTCCTCGGATGCGTTATTTATCCGATTTTGCAATTTTTCAAATACATCTCTCCATCGCCCAGCCGCTAGAGTTGTTACATCCAGGGTTATTTCCTCCATATAGGAAACCATGGATCCCGTCAGGTTGTCCAGGTCAGCATCCACAAAACATTTAGGAGTGTCATAGCCTGGAACATTAGACGACACACTAACTGATACTGGGACGTGCTTCCTGGTCCAAGAAAGTTTTGCCGTATTCGTTTGATTCGGTAAAGGTTTCAGCATGGCCTCAAAATCGTATACGATGAACCATGGGAAATGTTGTTTTTCTTTTGGAACAAATATGTCGTTTTGTTCTAAATTATCGAAGATTGTATCACTGAGTTTGTAGTGTCCTCCGGGAAAATGAGATTTGGTAAGTCCAGTGCAAGTACGTCGATGACGAAGGCACTGGAATGATGTCGTAAACAGTTTTTCACATGATTCACATTCGTATTTACGGCAGTAAGATTTGATGTTTGAAATATACGAGAGGTGATTTTCGTATAAATTCAAAAACATCCCACTGCTGTAACGTCCGCTACTCCGTCTAATGATAGTGGCCACGCCTTCGCTATTTAGGGTATAAATGCTAATAGATATATCAAAGCATTTTTCAAACTCGGAGAGTTCGGCCATGTTCACACCTGCATAGTTAAATGGAGTGACTCCTGTAATATCTCCGAGGTCTTTACGTTTTAAATATTTGCTCCATGTTCCATAATAATTACTGACTGAGTGTTCTAGCAGAGCTTGGCGATGGTGAGTTGCTAAACAGCGGAATAGACACAAGTTGTCGTTATAACGTTTACACTTGCTATTGTGTGTTAATGTTCTAATGTTCCTATTGTTAAAAAGGTACGGTGGTAGGTCTGTCTGTCCAGCTCCGAGAGGAAAGTTGGTTCTAAATATAACGATGTGGACGTTGGTGATAAAAACAGGTTTCCACTTACTGTTTTGTCGTTGTCTGAGCATGTATTCCCCAACGTCCATATTCTCCAATCTATTTCTCAACTTCCCGTTAACATCCCGTCGTTTGTTGATGAGAAGGGGCTGGTCAAAGAGAGTTTCGTTTCCGTATGGACGGAAATAGCGATACTCCCCGGTCTCTCTGTTCTGGAGTATTATTCCGAAGGAAAAGTTTAAACGAAAGGAATGTTGTTCACTTTCGTAAATTTCATCCACGGAATTAATAAGTTCCTCTACCCTGAAATTAGGCCTAAGGGGTATGTTTATTGTCGACGTCACAGAGCCGCCGATATTTTCCTCTAATATGAGAGGTGCGTTCGTTTCATACACCTCTCGTAGTTTATTATTTCCATTCCATGGTGCTTCTTCATTACTCCACGGAACATCCTGTAATTTTAAACCACCGCCTTCTTGCTTGTGTTGCATGTGGTGAGAATATAGTACTTTCCTATCGGGGAACCTTTGATTACATGTTCTACATTTAAACGACCGACTTTCCGTTTCATCCACGAATGTAGTCGTAGTAACAGGTTCGTGTCTAGGTCGTTTACACGCAGGAAAGGGTACTTGATCCGTTTCTCGTTGATGAACACGTGAATGTTTTAATAATTGACGAATCGTGGGGAATTTGGCGTGGCAATCGGTACAATTAAATTGTCTCAAAACCAGAGACGGTCCACTGCAGTTTTTTTCATGTCGGCTGCGGTTTGATAAAAATCCAAACTTTTTGTCACATTTACGACACGAGAATGTTTTTTTCCCATGCTTGTTGTTGACATGCTCCACTAGAGCTTTTTTCCTGCGAAAAACTTTTTCACATATTCCACAATAATGGGAGAGTTCTCTGATCCGTTTCATCACGAGTTCATGATTCTGTAAATTGGAATCTTTTGACCATTGCATCAGTTTCTCAATGTTATTGAATTGATCAAGATGCACTCTAATACTCTCTTCTGCTGATTCAAACGGTATGCTATCAGCATCCCACGAGAATGTTTTTTTTCCATGCTTGTTGTTGACATGCTCCACTAGAGCTTTTTTCCTGCGAAATACTTTTTCACATATTCCACAATAATGGGAGAGTTCTCTGATCCGTTTCGTCACGAGTTCATGATTCTGCAAATTGGAATCTTTTGACCATTGCATCAGTTTCTCAATGTTATCGAATTGTTCAAGATGCACTCTAATACTCTCTTCTTCTACTTCAAACGGTATGCTATCAGCATCCCATATTACCGATAAATCAGCGATCCTGTGTTGGACTTCAGGAAAATGAATAATATCCAGTTCCTCAGCCCATGATATTAATTCATTCACGTCGGTGAATAAACCGACATAGGACATAATGGTGTCGTAAAGAGAAGACATGATGAGCTCTGTACTTTTCAGATAACAAAGTAAGAATGGAGAATTATTATGAGAACAGGTAGTACTAGTATATTTGGAATACGCCCTAGCTTGGCGTTAGAGTATTGCTCATTCATCACCTGGTTCTTTTTATTAATTAATCAATATTGAGTACCCGCGTACTACCGTAGACACACCTTTCATAGAAGTACGTAACCCCGTGTTTGTGTCTCTGTCACAGTGTTTGCTGATTACGTAACATGGATCACACCTACATACAATTTATCCTGTTACGATGCAAGACCTGTGTAAACTACCTAGATCGATACTCCACGAATTAGTTCATTCTCTTTTAAACGTTGTTATATAGGATTATTTCAAAACGTGACGTTTCAAAAATGACAAAAAAGACTTTTGTTTTGATCTCTTATGTTTATTTGACGTAAATATACCAAAAGAAATTCACTCATGCGAAGCGTAACGCACAGGTGTTCGTCTTGTACGAGTTGATCGTCGCAGCGGGGGTGGAGCTACGCCTGGGGGGTCAATCGTCTCTTGATTTCCACCAATGGATAGGATCACAATCTTGAGGACTATCAGGAGGACTGTAACACAATAATGTTAATCGTTTTTTAACGCCCCTAACTCAAACTCTGTCACAGATTCCAAATCACCAATGTGGTAGTTCAATGTACGTTCCTCATTACGTTTTCGACGCTTCATCATCATTCGAACACAACACACAGCACACAGCACTACGATTACTGCTATTAATCCGAATGAAACGTAAAGCCAAGTTCGATCTGGAACGACGGTAAATACATAAATTAGATATTTGGAGAAGAATTTTCAGTACTAAAACAAATCTTAAAGTCAACGAGACAGAAAAAAGTATTTATACCATCAAACGATACAATTGTTTTTATAAGTTAATCATAATAATATAAATTTAAATAATAATATGCTGATCAAACAAAAGTATTGCGATTTTGAGGAATACATATGAAACTTACTCATCGTTACGATTATTGTTTCAACTGCAACACTGGAAGTGGTCATGGGTGATGATGGATTAGTCTGATGTCTTGACGCTACTGTGCTTTTCTAAAATAAACACATTAAAAACAAAATAAGCAAATAATTTTCAGCAGATTAATGTATTTCAAATGAAATAGCATCCGATATAACACTTTATTTTTATGGTATATTTACTAGTTATATTTTTTCTTCTGAATCGAAATAATATTACTTAAACCGCTTTCAAAAAACAAAAACCACCAACTTACCTGGCATTGTTTCCCATTCAAAAATATGACGGTGTCTGTCTGATGGTGAAAACTGTTACATGTCATGGGGGTTCTTTCAATTATCAGTCGGTTGATCACATGGCCTAAGTTAGGGAAGAACTGTATCAATGGACAGTATCCTAGATAAACCACTTCCACTGTAGCCTGCTGAATGACCTCCGCGTCATAACGGTCACATCTCAACACGTGTCCTGTTTTCCGACAATTCTCTCCTGCGTTGACCACACACACGAAACATATCATCACTATCATCATCTTCGTCATCATCCTCATCGCCATTTTTGTGTAAATAATCTTTTATGCTAGTGGTCTTATCAAGACTAATGAGAGGTGCCATTGGGTTGTTATTTCAATTGTGTTTAAATAATCACAACACCAAAATGGATTATTATATCTATCATGAATTTTTGGAATTTGTTAAATATATTATTTTTCTATGTATTTAATTATTTTATTGTTAAGTTTCATTTTATTAAAATATTAAAAATAAATGTGTTTTATATTTACCCTTAGTGTACCCCTTTGCTGTGGTCAGCGTGTCCGTCGAAATAATTCGGGGTTTAGTTGGGAGATATAAACGTCTTACCAATGTTATTCGTATTAACATAACATTTTAAATTTAAATTTGTTAACACAAATTATGTCAAATATAATTCTCGATAATGATTGATTACAAAAATATTTATATAAATGAAGATTTTCAATAACGTTAGTAAAAGTATCCCGTCGGGGGCCCCATAGGATGCAATTAGACCTGATTGTCATATACAGTGGACACTAGTTAACAGCTTGTTAAAAATATCAATAGAGGGCGTTCTATAATGTAGATTTTATTTCTTACGTAATGACTGTAAATGTTAAGTAAACATATGTCTACTATATGTATATACTCTATATAAACACGTTATAAGACATATTTTCTCCAGGTATTCTAAACATTAATATATGTTAGTATAGTAATTATGACTTTGTTAATTTCAAGAAAAGCATCAAACTCATTCGGTCTCGCTTTCTCACTTTGCTATTGATCAACAATATATGTATAAGCTCGATGTCACAATTGGAGTTTTCACTTATGAACTTTGTATGCGTCTAAAATGACCTTTCCGATTTCACGTAAAAGACGTAATGTTGATGATGTTCGTGATTATATGGAAGATCGAACGTTTTATACAACGTGTATCGGAGGAATTACTTATGTAAATGTTACGTATTGGAGGGCTAGCTTGCGTGTTGATATACGCGAGTGGTATCAGGATTATTTTATGCATCCGAGTCCTGCAGGAATTAGTTTAACCAGAGACCACTGGCACATGCTCTTTTCCCTACAAGAGGATATCGATCTCATAATGACAGAAATGCAGCAATCCGTTTCGGAAACCTTCACGTTTGCGATTCGAGATCCAGTTGAAGTTATTGTCCACAAAGATCAAGAAAGAGCAAAAGTGACCATAAGAAAATATGGAAACCATCCGACGACGATCACGCTAAGTCAGGAGCAGTGGATGGATTTGGCCCAGAGAATGACGGAAATCAACAAAGTTGTTATAGAAAATTAGACAGTGAACTTTTGGAAAAAATATGCGTTCTAATTTTGTCATTTTCTGTATGATTAAATCAATCCATTGTATCCATTAACACATCGTTACAATGTTCTCTTTGAATATAATCCATTTAAAAACGTCAGCCGACTAGTATCTATTGCAATGTTCTTTTTCTTAATCTCAGTATTTTACTTAATGTCTAATCAGTGGGTTCTCCCATATACCTGAAGAGTTGTGTCAAACGTTTGTGATTGATGGATATCGACAACTAAGGGAAATAACTCAGATATACGGTAGGTACATTCTATGGTGCACATGTCCGTACATGTAGAATTCCGGACACCTCTGGGTGATACTAGTCTATACATGTTTACTTTCCGAAAAAGTCTTCCTTTCTTGTTTTTGAAACTTGCTACAACCTGTTACATTGTTATTACCGGAGAAAGCCTGCTCGTAAACAAACATTTACATCTGTATTGGTCAGTCAAGCAAAGTACGTCCACTTGGGCAAATATTCGCACCTCCACCGACCAGCTTAACAAATATTCATACCAGTCAAGTAAAGTAAGTTCACTTGGAAGAACTTTTTTGTGAAGTTGTTTGCATATATGTTTATCGACATTCTTATATCCATTAAATGGTAGCCAGATGGGAGTAGTTATCGCTCTTGTCGTAACATGTTGAGTTATTTGAAAATGGTTTTGCAAAACGTTTTTCTTTGAGATTTTATTAAACTTTAATTTTGGTTAAGAATAAAAAAAAG